CCGGCCGCAGCCGCGCTGCTCCTCCTCGCCCTGGGTGAGGCCGCGGGGCCCTGCCGGGCTGGGGCGGGGGCTGGGGGGTGCTGCAGCTCCTGCTGCTACTGCTGCCACTGCTGACCGGGCTGGGGTTTGGGGTGTCCGGGCTGGAGGTGCACTGTCCAGGCTGGGGTCTGGGTGCTCAGGCTCAAGTTTGGGTGTTCAGGCTGGGGTGTGGGATGCCCAGGCTGGAAGGATGCTACTTAGAGCACGGTTTGGGGTGCCCAGGCTGGGTATTGGGGTGCCCATGCTAGGGGACACTGGCTGGACTGGGGTTTGGGGAGCTCGGGCTGGGGGGAGGAAGGCACTGCTTGGGTTGAGGTTTGGGGTATATGGGTCTTCCAGGCTGGGGTTTGGGTCGCCAGACTGGAGTTTGGGGTGTCCAGGCTGGAGGTGTGCTGTTCGGACTGAGGTTTTGGGTGTTTAGGCTGGCACTTCCAGGATGTCCAGGCTGAAGAGAAACTACCCAGACCAGGCTTTGGGGTGCCCAGGCAAGGCTGTGAGGTGCCCATGCTAGGGGACACTGCTTGGGCTGAGATTTGGGTGTTCAGGCTGGGGGCACCTCTGAAGATCCCCTCCCTCTTCCCTGTGTCCTTGTCATGTCTGTCACCTGCCAGTGATGGGCCAGCTGAGCCTCCGGTCCCACTGTGTCCTCTGTCCTGGGGTAGGTGCTGGGCCCAGGGGGAGCCAGGGCAGGCTGGAGCAGGGTGCCCCTTCCATCCCCAGCCCTCGCAGAGTGACGGGTTCAGGCTCTCTGCAAACGCAGGCAGGACTGGGCATGGGTGCATGGTGGCATGTGGATTGTGCCCATCCTGTGGTGATGGGACAGCTCACTGGGCCTTGGTGGCACGGGCCCTGTCTTGCCCCAGGGCTGGCTATGTCACCCCAGGGAGGAGGAGGAGGTGGGCTCCCGTCTCCAAAAGTTTCCGTGCTGACATCCGCCTCCTTGGCATCTGGCAGGGCACCTGGCCGGGCTGCTGGCTTCGGCCACGACGTGTGGGAACGTCTACCAAGGCTTCTCCGACTGCGTCTTAAAGCTGGGGGAAAACATGGCCACGTACGAGGAGGTGGACAGCCTTGAGCTGCAGGGATCGCGCCGAGTCTGCGGGTGAGTGCAGCGCCCGCGCACGTCCTGGCTGCAGGATGGGTCCTCGCAGCGGGCTGGTGGGATGGGGACGTCTCGTGGAGCGGGGAGCCCCCACCCCTCGTGGGCTCACAGCCGGACGCGAGAGAGGTTACAGCCTGCAACCTGCCGCTGGTTAATATTGCAGCCTAAAAACAGGCTCCCCCTCTCCCCTCCTACCAAAACCCCTCTTGGTTCAGCCTTGAATTGGCCCCTTGGCACTTTGTGAGTTTGTCGTAGGTGCCCCGAGATGGCAGCAGGGGAGCGTTGGGGCTGGGGGGCATCAACTCTGGCAGAACCACCGCAGCGGCAGAGGTTAAAGGGAGACAGAGGAAAGGGTGGTGGCAGGCTGCGCCCGGGGAACGGTCTGAGCAGCAGCGGCAAAGCAGGGGCGGGTGGAGGGAGGAAACGAAAAGTGTGCAGAGGTAAACGGAGGTGGCCGGCAGCTCTGAGCATCCCCAGCAACGAACTGCCGGGAGTGAAAAGGCCCGTGGAGGGG